CTGATAATATTATATGATTATTAAAAGTAACATATATTTAATGTTACCGTAATATCGTATAAATATTACAAAGTATTATAACAGCATTTATTTTAATTTGTAAAACTGTTACATCTGTTCAGTATAAGTATACGTTTAAAAACTGAAAATGATTTGGCGCGCAGTTGTAGAACTGGATATGTACTTAAAATCACGTCGAAACGTTTTTTTCGACAAGATGCAGCATAGACTGATAAGAATTTTTCGTTACTGGATTGTGTATTCAAATTGCACAAAATTAAAAATAATTAATATTTATAAGTATTTTAATAATATTTCAGGAATACTAAGATATAGTACCTAGGCTATTATATAAGTGGACATATAACCTCTATAGAATACTCCCATAATATTAAAAAAACATTTATTATATATATATTCTCGAAATATTATATTTTTTAATTTTTTTTTAAATAATATCCATATAACATTCTAGGAACATTTTGAGCTTATAGGGTCCAATCATTTTTTCTCTTCCTTTTTCCTTTATGCTTTTTGTACACGCAGGAGCCGCTTACGGTCGAGCTGAAGATCCGGTGAGAGAGCTCATCTATTCGACAGATTTACCCTTTTTACCAACCCCGATGGGAAAGGGCGTTGTACCGGATGAGGATAAACGTTGCGTCTCTAGCGCGCGAACGTATGCCTTGCTACATTCCGATGTCATTTTGTTGCTAGGTGCGCGATTAAATTGGATGTTGCATTTTGGACGGCCACCCAGATTTCAAAATAATGTCAAAGTCATACAGGTAAATCAATGATCCTTTATATGATTTCTTAAGAATGCGATAAGAAGTGATGTATACAAATTTTTAAAAGATCTTGTAGTGATGAGATTTCCATACAATCTCTTGGATATACTTCCGAAAACGTCAAACGCTCGATTTTCTTTTAAAAAATCTTTTAGAATATACTTAGGGGAATCATCCTATATACACAGGGTGTCCCATGTAACTATGATCACGATTTTTCTGGCACTTCCGATGATCTGACAAAAATTATTTTGAATAAAAGTTACTTTTTAATCGGCTACAAATTGCAACATTAAAATTTGTAAAATATTCTTTTTTAGGAAAAAAGTCAAGGTCATCCTAATTTTTTTAAATCGCACTACGTAATTTTTACTTCACAATATTGTAATAACTGATGTCAAGACGAGCTGATGTTCAATGACCTGCTATACTATGACTTTGAGATGACCTTATTATATTATTATATTATATTATATATGTATATCATCTTATACATATATATATATCATCTTTCGTCCTGTTGTATTATAGACCCCTACTCTGTAATAAATGTATGCCTTACTGAAAAAAATCACGTCACAAAGTTACATAACGAAATCATGTAATTAAAATAAGTA